GTCTAGAACCGATTAACCGCAATAAACGAGGGTTCACTGTACTTGATTAAAAAAGCAGAAACAAAACACAGGAAACCCAAAATGGCGCTAAGTCCCAAACTTGGAGCCTATTCCACCCTACCATGGTGGTTACTCTGGTCAAGCAGCCTTCTGAAACATTGTTTACTGAATTAGAAACCAACCAACCTGTCCACTTGCTTATTTTGGCTACAGGTGTCATGATTCATGCATACCCTTAAAGGGTATATAAAAAAATCCATCTGCAGGGGCAGTGAATTATTTACTGTTAACTCTTCTAGCTAAATTCTTGATTCTCTAACTCCCACCAAAAGACCTTTCCCAGCAAGGGTCTGGCAAGAAGGTGGGGGAAGACACATAGGATTCACTGGGAATTGCAAAAAGGATTCCCTGGGGTGCTATTCTGCTGCATATAAAACGAGCTCTCTGAAAAGCAAGAAGAGGAATCCTGATAACAGCAAGAGCCAGGAGTGCAGCAAGTTCTCTTGGACCAGAGATCTTGGCAAAGTTAAACCCTGGATCCAGGACAGTTTTACCATCCGAAAAGCAGCAGCAGAACTTTGAGCCAGAGCATGCAAGAGTCATGGACTCCCAACCCACAGTGCCTGTACAGTAATGAAGTGCTTTTATGCAGGAGGCTGGCTTGTGGAGTGGGGTGCCTCTGGGCACTTAATTGGGGAAGCTGGGTTTGCTGATTCACTTAATTGGAGCCAAATGCCTTTGAGGTGAGGCTTTTTGGAGTGGGGTGCCTGCCTCTGAGCACTTAATTCAGGAGCTGGGATTTTTGCTGACCCCCTGAGCTAAAATGGAATGGCTTCTAGATGAAGCTTAAAGAAGAGTGGTACGCCCTTCGGGCATTGATTGGCAGACTTCACAGGATTTTGTGACATGTTCTGACAAAACAACTCAACCCTGAGCATTTCTCAGTGGCATTACAACTTCCTTAATAAACCCTTTTAGCATGACTTTTGCATAGCCCTTGCAATGGCTATTAGAAAATAGAAAAGTGAAATCGAGATTAAGACAGTACACATCTTTTCTAGGAAAAACTAATGCAGTAAGGCTTCTTCCACTGTTGTAGTCTGATACGGTATATTCTCAAATGAAAGTAATTGTGTGCTACTCATAGACAGATGTCCATAGCCCCTGCTTTCCATTTCTTAGAATAAGAAAACTGTAAAGGCTGCCTGACTAGATCGTTACTCTGACAGAGGCTTCATCCCTGGGTGCCCTAGGGCCGCTCCCTTGGCACATCACTCCTCTCACCATGCATCATTGTTCATTTCCTTTATTGTCTGTCAACATTTACACAACTGTGCTGCAGTCAGACACATAAAAGGAAGAGTCTAAACCATATTCAAACAGCCTGGTAGAGCTGAGCAAACTCCAGTCACCCCCAAATCTGACTGACCTGACCTGATGTCTTGCGTTTCATTTCTTAAGTCACTCCTTCAAAGTGTCAGGATTAGAAGCATTTCAACGATATAGGATCTAGTTCTTTTGCTTTTATTTCTTCACAAATTCCTTGGAGACTCTCAAGTCTATAAAGAGATGTACTAGAGAAGTGGTTCTCAACCTGTGGGTCTCGAACCCTTTGGGGGTCAAACAACCCTTTCACAGGGGTCACCTGATTCATAACAGTAGAGAAATTAGTTATGAAGTAGGAATGAAAATAATTGTATGGTTGAGGGTCACAACATGAACTATATTAAAGGGTTGCAGCATTAGGAAGGTTGAGAACCACTGTACTACAGAGACCCCTTCATAGGAAATGCTACACTAAGCCAAACAGGCATCTTTTAAAAAATTTTATTGAGGGCTCTTACAGTTCTTATAAAAATCCATATATCAATTGTATCAAGCACATTTGTGCATTCTTTTCTACACATTTACTTTCTATTGAGCCCTTGGTGTCTGCTCCTCCCCGCTCCCAGACATCTCTTTCCATAGATCTGGGTCTCCATGCCCATGGACCTTCCAGCAGATCCCTTGTCAGAAAGCATTTGTCTGACATCACCACCTCTTTTATTACCTCATTGATGTGGACAGTAATATTGATGCAGTGCTTCTTAAACCATATAAATAAAATGCATATGAACCACCTGGTTACATGGTTAAAATGTAAATTCAGAATTAATAGGTGGGATAGGGGGCCCCAAAACTTTGGCATTGACACATGAGCATCAAGATTCTAGTACCTCTACCTCCTCTAAATTAGAAGCATGTTTTACCCGAAGATCTTGTGACTCTTGTGGAACTCAGGACCTCTGCATCGGGAGGAGTCCCCTCTCTACACCAGGTTTGCTTGCTGACTCTCACTGTACACAGTTGTCTGATTCTAGCCCTTGACAGCCAAGTCTGACACAACATTTCCAGCAATCAAACACTGGTAGAGAGCACTTAGCAAACATGCACATTCCTGGGCCCGACACGGAAATTCTGGTATGTTAGGTCTGGGGTTGGGGTGACTTAAAATCTGCATGTCAGCAGAGACTAAGTGACTCCATGATGAGGGGCTTCAAAGAGCGTGGAAAATGGCATTACCTGTTAATTCCATTTTCCACAGCCTTTTTATGCCTCCCTCCGTATCTCAAGAACCATTTGCGGTCTGGGGGAAGGAAAGGCAGGAAATCTCTTTGGTGGACTACAGCTCACCATGCCCTCGGGCTGTTGGAGCATTTTTGACAAACAAGAGAGCACAAAAAAGTCAGAAAAAAGGGAAAAAGATCTTTAGTGTCTTTTGATAAAAGAAACAATTGAGTTCCATTTTGGACAACTGTTTAAAAGCTACTGTTCAATTGCAAAATATTCCATCTTTTGAGAAGTACCCTAAAAATGGGACGTGTCTTGGATAGTCTATAGGCAAAAAAAATTTTTACACTTGATCTATTTCGATTGGCTCATAGGCATGTGAAAGTTAGATAACAAATAAGCAAAATGAAAGAGGAAATGCTGCCTTTGAATCATGGTGTGGGTTAACAATATTGAAAGAACCATAAACTACTAGAAGAAAGAACAAATGTCTTGGAAGAAGTCCAACCAGAATGATCCTTAGAAGCAAGGATGGTGAGACTTCATCTCACTTGTTCAGGACCAGGCCTCGGAGAAGCACATCATGCTTGGAAGAAAGTCATTGAAAATCGGGAAGACCTTCAGCAGGATGCACGGATATAGGGGCTAGAGCAATAGCTTAAGCTTAGCAACAATTGTGAGGCTGAGGCAAGACTGGACAGTATATTCTTCTAACGTACACAGGATCGCAGCAGGTTGGAAACAACTCAACAGCACCTCCCGGACGGCCATGATCTCAGCAGCCAGGTCCACGCAGAGAGCCTAGAGAATTCTTTTAATCGAAGTATGCCTACAGACGGTCAGTTAAAGATTAAAACATCAACGGGGTGGCTATTTGCTCTTCTGTCTGAATAGATAAAACGTGTATGTGCGTGCAAACATGACTTTAAAAAATATATCCAAGAAAACAAACAGTAAAATCACTTAATAAAAATAAAGAATACAGATTTTAATTAGTGCCATGGGAAAAGGCAGAAGGAAATGTAAAACGCAAGAAGTAACCTTTCATAGACTTCGAAGAAAATGTCCTCCCAAAGAATGGTGACGGTTTGGCTACTTGGTCTCATCAGCGGCAGGTGTGCCATCCTGAGGGGCGCTGGCCTTTGTGGGTGCAGTTACTGATGCTGCCACACTGGTTGTGGACTCTACAGGAGCAGGCGTGGATTGGAACTGGCTGGGTGATTTGGGGTGGTCAACTAGATCTGGGGTGGTCTCAGTTTGGGAGGCTGAACTTTCTGGGTTGGAGCTGGAATCTTCTGCACTGGGCAGAGGGTCAGCTTGAACAGCAGTGGCCTCTTCTTCAGTTTCTAATTCTGTTTCTTGACTTTGGACTTCCTCACTTTCTTCTACCATAGCAGGAGGTAACTGCAGGAAAGTCTAATGAAAAAGAATATCAAGTGAGTTCAAATGAGACAGCACCCCTGATTCACACAGCTAAGTGCTCATGCTAACAGTATGTTTAGAGATTTCCACCAAACCCTGAGTGATGACAATGGCCTAGGTTTCGCTGAGTATCACATAATAATCATGAATGCATATATTTCATTTTTAGATAGGAAAACTGCCTGGAAAGTGGCTATGAGCTATTTTAGCAAAGAAATCGGCTGTTACATCTGTGGGCAAACACTGGCTGAGTAGGCCTAATTGCCACATGAACTCAAGCAAGGACCAACTCCAACCAAGGAGCCCTGCGGCGCAGGGGAGACCAGGCACTGTGACCAGGCTGCAGCAGAGCTAGCAGCAGCTTCTCAGTCAGAAAACTGGAGCAGCTCTAGATACTAGGCCGTTCTTTCCGCCGTGGCAGCCTAGCTCAAAGGCTTGTCTTCTCTTCCCAGGGTTATGTTTAACTTATTGGAGATTGAAAAAACGTTTAAAGATGCCATTTACAGTAGCAACCAAAATACAAAATGCTTAGCCTAAAGGTAACAAAATATGTGCAAGGTTTGTATGCTGAAAACTACAAAATACTGAGAAGATTCAAAGGAGACCTAAAAAAATGGAGAGACCATATTTTCATGATGTAAGTTGAACTTCAACAAGATTTTAAAGTCTTTGAACTGATATGAAAATAAAAAGACATGTTACATAGTTGGAGAAAATATTAGTAAAACACATATTTAAATAAAGGATTTGTAGCCAAAAAAAAAACCAATTCTTTAAATGCAGTAAAAAACAACCCCGTTTATAAAAATTCACACACACACACAAACACACACTCTCTCTCATACACTTCTGACTCATAGTGACCCCAGGGGCAGAGCAGAACTGCCCCCTTTGGATTTTCTGTGACTGTAAATCTGTGTAAGAGTCAAAAGCCTCATCTTTCTCTTGAAAAGTTCTGGTGGTTTGAAATGCTGAGCTTGCAATTAGCAGCCCAATGCATAAACCTATTTTATATATATTAGATAGATACATAGATGGATGGATGGCGGTGTGTGTGTGTGTGTGTGTGTGTGTGTGTGTGTGTGTTGCAAATAGCCACATAAAAAGATGCTCAACATCAGTAACCATTAGAGAAATGCAAATCGCAATCACTACACATCTATTTAAAGAGCTAAAATAAAAAAAGACAAAGCAGTCCAAAAGTAGGTAAGACTGTGGGGCTACTAGAACACTCACACACAGGGATATAAAAGAGACAAGTGCTTCAGAAAATAACAGGGTCATTTCTTAAAAAGTTAATAAACACCTATCTACCGTAATGCCTCGTTATGTCACTGCTAGGTATTTACTCAAGAGAACTCACAGTATATGCTCATACAAAAGCTTTTATGTTTTCAGCAGCCTGATTTGAAATAGCCAAAACCTGGAAACAATGCAAATGTTCCTTAAGAGATGAATGAATAGATAAAGTATGAATGAGTACATAGACTATACAATGGATGCAATAAACTCAGCAATAAAAAGAATTATCTGTACACATAATAAGTGAATGAATTTCAAAATAATTATGCTGACTAAAAGGAGACAGGAGGAAAAATAAAACAGTATGTCTGTATACATGATACCATTTACATAAGTTTCTAGAAAACGTAGGCTCATCTTTAGTAACAGAAAGTAGATTGCTGGTTGCCTAGAGACAGTGGGGGAAAGGTGGTAAAGGATGGAAGGAGGAATTATGGCGGGACACAAAGACAGCCTCGGGTAACGAATGAGCTCCTTTATCTTGATCGTGGTGATAGTTTCCTATAGAAAGACGTAGGAAAACCTCAGCAAACTGTGTACTTTATATATGTGGCACACTTACAGACCAAGTCCCCGGACAGAGATATATGAGAAGTATGACTGCTGCATGCATCACAGGCGACTTTACGTTAGCTGGTTTTCCACAAGGGATATTTTAAAGATTTACTATGTACAGAGAAGAGTCTTCCTGCATCAAGAAAAATAAAACAATGAATTTAGAGAAAACTCACCTGATGATAATGATGTGTAGTTTGCATTAAATGCAAGTACATGTCGTACACAAATCTTGCCATCTGGGGCATATTCTTTATTACCTGTACTTCATGAGATGGTCTCTCTCCGTTCTAGAAGGAAAAAAAAAGTCCAGTGTGAAATACCAGAGGCTACAATTTCAATGGCAGCTCAGGGTTCTATGTTCGGTACAAACATTGGTAAGGTTTGGAAGCCACAAGCGGGCATACGACATAAGCAATATGGCACTACAACAAAGACTTCACAATGAGTAGGGAGCCAAGAGTAATCAGCTTTTTAATGACATTTGATGTTGGCAAAGAAAATAAGGTTTTAGTCTATAAAAGTATGTAGAAGAAGCTATAGGAGCTAAGCTATCATTTGAACAGTGAGAAAAAAATCAACATGGTCTAAAGTAGTGGTCACCAGTACTGTTTATGGCTTGTAAAGTGTAACATACAAGATAATTTACAAACTATTCTGAACTATTTTTCCTATTTATACTTCACCGTTATATTAAAAATATTATTTCATAAATGAATTTTCGTTTGCTATTAACGTGGTCAACAAATGTTGGTAAGGAATAGTCTAAAATCAGAACCACCTGAGGAGTTGGCTATATCGCCAATGTTTTAGACCCCAGAGACTTAGATGCAGTCGATCTGGGGTGAAATGAGATGCTTCTCACAAGGCACCACTGCACTGTCAGGGTGGGCATATGGTAAAATAAATGAGGACAAATACACGATCTGTACTTCTTCCTAATCTACTCTAAAATGAAAATAGTCAATAAAATGTTCATAAAGTCTTCCTCTTCTTACTACAGGAATAATTCAGAAAATTCCAAGACAAAAGATTGTACCTTAAAATGACAAATTATTTCAAGCACACAGCATTAGAAATAGTACATTGAATAGTGTTTTGCAGAATTAACAGGTGATTGTACTGCATGTAACCAGATGTCTCTTTAGCTAATGGTCACGCTCTACAACTTGTGCGTGTAAAGAGTGCCAGGCTATTGTTAGCTTTTTAATTTTTGACTTCCCGTGGTTCTCTGGGAGCTCTCAGAAGATTCAGGGCTGGCTGCTCAACCTTTCCAAGTCCCCAGCCCGCGGTCCCCGACAGAACGGGTCAGCAGCAGTTTCCATGGGTCTGACCCAGAAACCCTTGAACAGGAATCACCGGGAAAGGACGGTAACAGGAAGACTCCGGTGATCTGTTCCACACCTTGGAACCAGAATTTCCCCTATAGCCAGCCCACAAAGACTGAGCGCTGTAGGCTGTGTCCAGACCGGGCCCATCCCATCACTGCCTTCCCACCCTTTCTCCTTCCTTACTCCCTGACGGCAGCATTTCTTTCCTTTCCTCTCTGCATTTTTTTTTTAAGGGCGGGAGCAATTGAAAAAAAAAAGAGTAGTCAGTATTACTTTATAACAAATATACATTATTTACTTTTTTTAAGGTAATGGAGGGAAGAATTGCCAAGAACATTTAAAGATATACTATTAAATGAAAAATGCAAGGTCAAAAAGTGTGGTACCTTTCATGTAAGAAAGAAGAGAAGAGAAGAAACCACATGGTCTATACTCCGTCACAGGGACAGGAGTTCAAGGCGGACACCTTAGAGAGGAAACTGACTCGTGGGCAGGATGGGAAAGCTGTCAATGCAAAGGGGAGGGAGTAAGAAGTGGGTTCAGGGATGCAGAGAGAGCGGCTGTCCATCTCCGCCCTTCTCCACTCCCCAGACTGTGAGCTTCTGAAAGCAGAGTACTTAAGTTGGATGAGCAGGATGTTCCTGTCCAAAGTCAGACAGCATTTTTACTTTTAGCATAAGGTTCTGCATCAAAACGCCAACCTGTCTTTTCTCGCACTTTGCTTTGTTGAAACCAACAGGTAAGTAGTAACTTTGAGGGAAAAAATGGGGTAACTTTCCCCACCCTCAACAAGCAGAATGGTGAGGTTAACCTGCATCCCGGGAAAAAAAAGGTCAGGATGGAAAATCGTTTCCAAAGACTCTATGACAAGACGTCCTCTGGGAGAGTACGCGCCCAGCTTCACCACAGCGGTCAGGGTGTGAGCCATTTGAGAAGACTCCGTGAACAGTTTGCTTGAAGCTATCTATAATGAACAGTTGACTACAATTTCACCATCAAGAATAACCAAACCAGCTGGCTCGCTACTCCCAAGCCAGATGGCCGACCTTTACATTTCAAGGACTTCAAGCTGAAGCTGATCTGATTCACAACCGCTCATTAACCCTCTACCTTCCCTTCGTTTGCTGCAGAGACCTCGCGAACGTGCTAGTTGACAACACTCAACGCTTGTGTTTTCCCAACTCACAATTGTGTTTTTTTTTAAATTTGTTACCCTTCAATAAAACTCTTCATTTTACTTGAGGCAGACTCTGTGACATGTGCTCTATAATGTATGTCTGCTTGTCAGACAGCCTTGGGAGGGGCAGTTGCTGAAATGATCCCTCCCCAAAGGGGAGCGCTCGGGACATGACTCCGGTACCAGGCAGAGCCAGGTAGGCCCTCCACTCCCTCAGACCCTTTTGGGAGTCACTTGGGAGAGTCCCTCTTTGATTCCAGCACCTTCATTTTGTGTGGAGTTTCCGAACTTTGTTGAGGATTTACTTTCTCTTTGGGTGCACATTTGTTCTTTCATTTGACCTGCTAGTGTCGTGGGTTATGTGTAGGGCTGCTAACCATGAGGTCACCAGATCGAACCCACCAGCTGCTGTGTGGGAGAAAGATGAGACTTTCTGCTCCGGTACAGATCTTCGACCTCTAACCCAAAGGGGCAGTTCGGCTCCGCGCTACACAGAATCTACCTATGAGTCAGAATGCACTTGATGGCCCTGCGCTTGTTTTGTTCTCAGTTTGACACAAAGGGACTCTGTGGAGACCGCTGTGATGGATCTGTGAGAAGCCAAGCGGCGCTCCACGTCAGCAAGCTAAAGTGCGCATCTGCTGCGTCTGACAAGATGAATGGGGAAGGCTGCATCTGACCATGGAGAGTTTCCCCCTGGGACTCCTGATCATGATGTGAGTAAGTTTATAAGTGAATAAGTTTGGTCCAATAACCTCCTCATTTTTAAGTGGTTGGGGCAGCTGTTTAAAGACATTAAAAACACCTGTGGCCACTTTCAAGATAATTTGACTTTGCTAAATTAAATTTTCTGTACAGTAAATTAGAAAAGAAAGGTTCTCAATCAAATAGATTCAAAGGAACGCATTTTAAAATTCAAATTGGGGAGCTTTAAAATGGTAGCAGGGCACTAACTTTGTATTTCTGCAAGTCATCATTTCTAAATTACAATGTCAAAGCTCTGCTGCACACCACCACCATTTCCTTATGGACTCACTCCAACTCTTTATCCCCTCCCCCTCTTCTACTAAAGATCTTTCTAAACGCCCTTCCTACCTCAAAGAGGAAGAAAGCTCGAATAGGCCTCGAAGGCAGTGTTTCTCAAAGTGGGCTATACCAGCCCCTGGACTGTGCTGGCAGCGCCCAGAAAGGCTGCAAACGCAGATGCTTACACTTTATCCTGAGTTACAGGACAGAGTTTTCAATTGCCAGAGGATGGTTGAGTAATTTTTTTTTTCCTGAAAAGGGGGGTGTTACGCCAAATATGTTTGGAAATCTAGTCTTTAAAGGAAATGCCTTTTAATATCAGATACCCAGAAAAAAAGGAACTCCCGCTTTGCACTCTGGTCCAAAGCAGAGCTTTCTGCACCTGTAAAAGAAGTTCTTAGTGTTTGTGAAGACTGTTAAGAGTTAGTTACAAGAGAATTTAAAGTTATAAACGTAGACAAGACTTTTATCAGTTGATAAATATGTTACTTGAACCAGAGGAAGCTCATTTATGGAAAGAAAAGGCTTATTGGGAAAATCCAAAGCAATCTTGCACCACTGCCCCGAAGTAATTGGTGCAGTGATTGTGGAATCAGCATGAGCTGTGGTTAAGTCACTTTCAGACGCCATACCAAAGATGCTCCCAGGAAAAACTAATTGGACAAAACTGCAGACAAGATGAAACTGTATACGATCATAGAAACTGTTCACTAGTATGTTTCAGAATATGCAGACTTAAACCTTACAGAAGCGGGAGTTCAGATCACATTTATGCCTATAGTTTATGTGGCCTGTGCTCAGAACTATCTCCAGAGCTTAGAGTGAGAAGCAGTATCTCTTCCTGAATTAACTAATCCAGCTTGCTGCTGTTAGGTCCCCCAGCCAGCTCCAACTCAGCGACCAACCCCACGTATAACCGAACGCAGCACTGACCAGTCCTGCACCAGCCTCACACAGTTGTCAAATTTGAGCCTTCTGTTGCAGCCACTATGTCAATCCCTCTATTTGAGGATATTCATCTTATTTTTCTGAACTTCGACTTTTTCACTGACCCCAAGATATATTTCTCTAGGGACTGGTCTCTCCTGATAGCATGCCCAGAGTATGTGGAATGGAGTGTCACCATTCTCAGTCTGGTCTAGTTATAAACGAGTTCAAATTTACAAACAAAAGGAGGAGACAGAACAAAATAAATGGTGTTGAAATGATAACAAATGCAACAACCTCATCTATCTATCTATCTATCTATCTATCTATCTATCTATCTATCTATGTAATTGGAGTGAGGACTGCCTAGATTTCCTGCTAAAAGTTTCAACAAACCCCAAACGAGTCATAATTGTAAAAAGCTTGGCCACTGGAAGAAAGATTATTTCAAGTGAAAATAAAAACAAAGAATCTCTCCGGCTGGGAGTTCTGAAGCCAAGCCTGAATAAGGAGGCTCTGGAGATAAAATCGAGGCTTTTCCTAAGGGGGCTTTATAGAAACCCACCAACAGATAACCTTGATTGTTACTGGAAAACACAAAAGCCAAGTTCACTATTATGACCATTTCGGACAGACTAAATCTGCTCCCGTGGGTTTCCAAGGCTGTAAATCGTTATGGGAGCAGACAGCCTCGTCTTTCTCCTACAGAACAGCTGGTGGGTTTGAACTGTGACCTCATTAGCAGCTGCAAGAGTAACTCACTATGCCACGAGGGCTCCTACTGCTAATGGGGTACCTGATAAGTTTATAATTGACACCTGTGCCACCTTCACCCCCTCAAGCTTACAAAATCAGCTATAAAAATAATGGGGGTTACAAATAACATTCAGACAGTATATCACTCACAACCTGTACCAATATGTCTCAGGCTTGTTGAGGATTCACACCTCTCGTCAGCCCAGATATAACTGCTAATTTGCCAGGGAGGGACTTTTCACCCAACCAAAACTGCTAAGTTGGAATCCCATGAAAAGTGATAAAATTTTACTAAGCTTGCATGATACTTCGGAACACATTCTACTTTAGACAAAAAAAAAAAAAGAAGCAGGGGGGTAGGGTGGGTGAGATGGGAGGGTGTATGTTTCTCTGTAGGCATTTGCCTTACCCACTCAGGACTTGGCCCAACCTGCACCTCCCCCCCCCAGAAAGCCTCTCAGCAATTCTTCACACTTTGTTAGTCACCACATCTACTGAGGAGGGGCAGGTCCTGTCCACTGACCCAATTCAAATTCAAGTGGACTCACCTAAACCCCTGCCAAAGAGTCCCAGTGCCCTCTTAAACAGGAAGCTCAATGTGACTGTGCCCCAATAACACAAAACTAACTTTCTTGAGGCCCTGTAATCTCTGACCTAGGCCACTCAATCCCCAATTCCTCCTTGCTAAAACCAAACCAATAAACAAAAACAAAAACTAACAATGGGGTTGGAAGTTTAAGACTTGGGTGTAACTAATAGTACAGCCATTCCCAGATTCCCAGCTGTCCTAATCCTCAGTTGTTACTGAGGTCCCAAGGGAAGATACCCACTTTAGCACCAGAGATCCTTGTTGTGCCTTTTTCCGTATTCCTGTCCACTCGGACAGCCTATATTTTAAAAAAAACATTTACACGAGAAAGCCAACAGTTGACACAAATTGTGAAACATTAGGGTACACAGAGTCCTCCACATACTTTTCTCAAGTTTTATATGAGGATTTACATAAAATTTTACTATGTTACAGTCCACAGACAATACAAGGCTTGAGAATTGTTCATCTGTTCCTCTTCCAAACAGAGAGGCTTGTTTAGAAAGCAGGTTTAATTTACTCAAATTTTTAGCTCAGGAGGACACAAGGTATCTAAAGGTAAATTTACAGATAGCATAACTCATGGTTAAACACCTAGGCCGTTTAATTTATACCTAAGATATTCTGAGAGCGTCAAAGCGAAGGTGTGTTATTTCAGCCTACCCACCCACTGCCCACAAGTCGATCCGACTCACAGGGCTCCCCAGGCTGTGAGCAGTCCGATGCTTACCCAACCGTGCCAAAGAGAAAGAACCCACTACACGGCTCTCTACGATTGGACGCTTCCTGCCGAATTCCGTTTCCATTTCCTTCTTTTATTAGTTCATCCTTTACACGACGACTATGGAAAGTCTTCAGGCCCAAGTTCATTTTAAATCAACTGAAGATTGGCAAGCCTCAGAAACCCTAAAAGAAGCCTTAGGCTTTGGCTTCTGCTTTGAGTTTTCCTAATTATCAGCTTGATTTCTCCTTATTTTTTCAGGAGGTAAATAGAAATACATTAGGTTTACTAGGCCAGAATATAGGGGGCTGCTTAAACCTGTGGGTTACTATATAATCTAGTGGTTTGGATTGCCTCTGAGCAGTGGCTGCCACTAACAAGCAAGTAGGATCTACTGCAGATGCCATCCTTGCAATTTTCTTTGATATTTATGTATCAAATGCTGTGCCTGCTCGACTTAATTCTACTTGTCCATAGCATGCACGATCCCCAGCAGGCTCACCTCTTATGGGATAATTTTACCTGCAGCTCTCCTTAGGCCTCACACTGTGACTCATTTAAATCTCTTCTTTTGCCTGACAGATTAACTAGTGATTTCCAGAAAAAGACTTAAAGGAAGGCTCCCTTCATAATGAGAATTTAATTTTATCTGTGGATGATCTGTGCCCTAATTCTGCTAGTGGTCACTCTCAAGCTGGGTATGAGGTTACAAATTCCATGGAAAATTTAGAATCAAGCTTTTCCTGAATCAATTTTAATCCAGCAGACTGAATTAATTTCCTTTATCAGGGTTTACAAACCAGCCAAAGAGAAGTCTATGAATATTTTCACTGTTTCAGAGTTATCCACAATTCTGTCAGACTGTCATATTGACAGCTTCTGGAACCACCATGAACAATGGGCCGTTTGCCGCGGACTTTTAGCTGCACTATTATTGCCTCTGAAATGGCTTCTGATAAAAATCCATGCCCTTCAGCCAATAGGAGTTGCTCACACAAAGGAAATCCGAGGCAATCACCTGCTGATGTACTTGTAAAGGAAGGTGCCTCTCAGGCCTTATGATCTTTATGTCCTAAAGCCCTCAGAGTGAGCTCAATTGACAATCTGTTGAGAAATAACTTTTTGATGACTAACAAGCAGTCCCCCAGAAAATGAACTCATAACATGGAAAATACTTGGCTGTTAACATCCAACCTTTATGTTTCACGGTACAACCCACTGAAGCATACAGACAAGGACAATCCGTTCCCTGTAGTAGTTAATTCTTGATATACACATTGAGTGAATGTGAAAGGCTTAGAGATTGTTTACAAATAGGTGTGCTGTCCAATTGTAACAACTTATGAATTGAAAATTGGTTTGAAGGATAATTGGTCTGAAAGATAAACCAAGACATTTATTTCCCTAATAAATAAACCAGGGAGGGTCTGATTTGTTCCCCACAGTCTGAGGTGAAGGAATGTTTCTTACATCAGAGAAAATTCCCATGCTGAGTGTTTCTCTCTCTCTCTCTCTCTCTCTCACACACACACACACACACACATTAAAAAGCAAAAACAAAACCCACTACTACTAAGTAGATTCCACCTCACAGTAGACCTATAGGCAAGAGCAGAGCTGCTCCCCAGGGTTTCCAACATTGTGAATCTTTACAGGAGAAGATAGCTCGTCTTTCTCCTATAGAGCCACTGGTGGATTTGAACCACCAACCTTGTGGTTAGCAGCCCAATACTTTACTCTGTCATCAGGAATATTTGAGAAATGCCATGTTTAGAATGATAGAACATGTGGGGCCAATGCACTCTAAGAGACCCTTGGGAGTTCCCTTAGGCATGGGTAGCTATAATGACAACCCAAAACTAAAGTTTGTGTCTGAAATTAAGAAACAAAGAAACTAACCCATTAATGGAAACCTAGACCAGATGGTCTCTTATACTCTGGACTTTGGCTTGGTATTCACAAACTTGATACTTGCAACTTATTCCATACTATGTCTACTATTGCTGATAAACTTGCTTATTACATTATTGCTGCACAAAAATCCTTAATGACTTCCTAATAATTATTACTTTACAAAACAAAATCATTCCAAATTTCATTTATGGAGCTCTGGTAGTGTAATGGGTTATTCATTGGGCTGCTAACTGCAAGGTCAGTAGTTCAAAAAATGACCTCTTGACTTTGCTCTTGCATTCCCCTCAAACAACCTTAGATGGTGCCTAGTTACTCTGTCAGAACAGCGCCTGTGCTCTTAATAAGCAAATGACCATCTACGATCTCAAAGACCAAAGAAAAGCCCTTTGGAAGTTGGGTTATTCCTTTGTGGAGACTTACAACCTGCTGCCCCTAACGATGAGATTCACATGTAACAAGGTGAAGAATTAGTCCTGATGAAAAAGTCTCATACAGCAATTCATGATCACAAGGAGGGAATGAGTAAAAGCATCTAAAATTCATAAAAAAGGTACTTGATTAATAGGAATGAATTATATTCATGTCCAACATCAGGCTAAATTTTGATTTTTATCATAAGGTATAGCTTCAAAACTATACCTAGCTTTTCTCTAAGTTTCCATTGTGCTTTGTTGAAACCAGTAAATAAGTAACTCTTGAGAAGGAAGGAGTGAGCTTTAACTATCCTTAGCAAACTGAACAAGGAAGCCAACATGCATTGCCAAGAAACCAAAAGTTAGGATCACTTAGGATATATATATGTATGTGTGTGTGTATATATATATATATATATATGTATGTAAACAACTGTCCTCAGAGAGAATATGCTCATAATTAACCAACGTGCAGGAAACAAACCATTTGTGAACAATATGTACATAGCAGCTCCCAGAATTGTCTATAACCATGAATATTAAACCCCAACCAACCCCGCTGCTCTCTAGTAGATCTCCACTCCTAGCCACTCTGTAGGACAGAGTAGAAGCAGTGTTTCTGAGATGGTAAATCTTCATGGGGCCAGAGAGCCTCATCTTTCTTCTATGGTATAAACTGGGAGCTTTAAACAGCTGACCACACTGTTCAGCACCCCAACGCTTAACCCACCATGCAATCAGAGCTCCTTAATGTAATTTCATGGGCTGGCTCACTACCCCCAGCAGATGACCAATCATTAACAAAAACTATCAAGCTCCAAACTGACCTTATCTACCTACACACAATTCTTACCCCTCTGCCTATCCTTTGTTTCTGCAGGTATAGAAATCTCTAACTGGATAAGACAATGGGATACTGTCTTGAGAGTATCTTCAACTGCTTTCTCAATTAGCATTCTTCTTTCTTTTCAATTCTACGATCAAACTCTTGGCTTTTACCTTAAGCAGAGTCTGTGGCTTAAGGTATCTATCACAGGATTCATCAATAGTTATACATGTTCTCCTCACAAAGCTGGAGAAGCAGGGCAGTACCTAATGACGACTAACACCAACAGTGGATCTTCTACCTACTAGACTGTGACCAACCTATTCAATGCCTCTCATCTTTAAACAACAAGAACAAAAACTATTTAACAGGCTGTTTCCAAGATGAAATGAGATGATGTATTTAAGTTTAAATTTCCTGAAATTATTTTTAGGTTAAAAAAAAATCTAATTCAGTTCCTTAGTGTAAGAGGTACTTTATATGATGTGATGCCCCTAGTGGTCACCTGTAAGAGAATCCTGATTTGGCCCTATGGTGGACGCTGTAGGATGCAATCTAAGTTATAAGTCTTACCTTTCTTGCAGTCGGGAAAGGTTCGGTTGGAATTAGATGCAAATGAAGTGGGCGGGCTGTGAGCTGACTGAAAGCTGGAGTTAGTTCAAAACAGTTTTGGAAGAGAGATACTCTGGCAAAAATATAAAGTCCAAGTCTGGCTCTAGACATGGCCACCACTAAGCGACGGACATCCCTTTAGAAACAAAATAATAACACATTTCAATGTTAGTAACATATTTACTCTCACAACTTTTTTTACTTACCTATTTTACTTAATATTTGTTAAGCTACGGCAATAAAAATTTAATAGAAATATTTCATGATCTTTTCATTCCATTTTACCATGAACAATTTTTTACCATGAATATTTTGAAGCCCCTCATACAGAAATAACTAAACCAAGTAAAAAGGCAAAACTTTATTCCTAACCTCTATGGTTTTCTTTCTTTCTTCTTTTTTGGGGGGTTAGGGGGTATAACTACAAAATGTCCAATGTACTACTGAAAGGATAAAGTAATTAAATCAGTACTATGTTAAAGTTCAAGTTTCAATAACCAATTTCCTATCACCGTTGGACCAATCGGAACAAGCCCTTTTTAAATTCCCAGGCTTCAGTTACTAAATGCCCAGGTTCCATCATCAAGGTCAATTTGTACTTACTCGTTAACTCATGCCACACAGTTTACATATATGAGAATGGTACATAACAGATACACAAAAAAATAGTGTACAGGTATACTGTGCCTTACTTTTATATTTACTTTAACACTTAGGGCTCAATCCTGGCTACAAGAGGCATTCCACTGTTACATAAACAATGATAAAATAGTTAAACTGAATCATCTGACTGTATGTGTACCTGGCTATCTGATAAATGTCAGTTTTTTGCATCTATCTTGAGTTTTATAAAAAGGAGATGAAATCAATACACTTATAAAAGAGTCTGTATTTTACGGTACATCTAATTTCACCTCTTACATAGAATGTGTTTTCGTGAGAAAAGATCATTTTAGTTTCAAAATCAGAGAACAGATTTCTTCTGTTTGTTTCCTTGAAGATTTTAGATGGCTACTGGAATGTGAGTGTCCTCTACAAATGAGCAGTCTTTCTTGAAGAAGAAAAAGTATGGCGATTACCTTTAATCCCTGAAGGAAAATGCTACTCGGTTACAGAGAGATTACATTAACAAGAGGATGAATCAGTCTTGGAAGAACAGTCTGCTCCCATTTGGGCTGTGTGCACAGAGACCTCGGGCCCTGAACATTCTCTGTTACGACTAAAAACCCCACTGCGATTGAACTAATTCTGGCTCAGTGACCCTGTATGGAGCTCTGATGGCATCATGGGTCTGAGTTGGGCTGCTAACCACAAGGTCAGCAGTTCTAAACCACCATGTGATCACAGTAATAACAATAGCCATGTTTTATGTCCCCTTCTTATTGAAGGTCATATAAGCATTAAGTATTTTAAATCCTATAATGCTCACAAGGCTCGTATAAAACAGGTACTATTTGATCACCAGAGCCCTGGTGGCGTTGTGAGTTGGGCTGCTAACCACAATCAGCAGTTTGAAACCCTCAGCTGTTCCCTGGCTTTCTATGGCCCCATACAGAGTCTCGGGGCAGCTCTACCTTGTCCTTTAAGGGGGCTATGAGTCAGCACCAACTCCATGGCAGGAGTTTGTGCTATCCGGCAGAGCAGATCTGCTCCAGAAGGGTTTCCAAGACGGAAAATCTTTTTTAGCAGACACCATCACCTTTATCCCTCGAAGCAACTGGTGGTTTGAACCAGCGCAATGCATTTAGGGACTAGGGCCAACTAGTCCCTTCTAAGAAACTTTTCTCTCCAGGCACACCAGTCAAACTGTGACTTTTTTTTTGAGGGGTGGGTGGTGGGTGGGACAATATTTTAATTATGCAAACCCAAAGAAAGGCCCCTTTAGGCAGCAGCTATCTATCTTAAAGTGGAAAAGGAGCTTCTTTTTAGAACGGTTAGTCTCCAAATACATGCTTAAGATTCAAATAAGTCAGCCTAGACACATCATATTTTATAATGTTAATGTCTTACAACATGACCTCTTTGCTCATACATCAGGGCAATCACTCTAATGAAACAGCTCACTAGGGTAAGCTCCACATAGATCTTGACTAGATGACAACGCTACAAATGCTTGAAGAAGTTTCTTTCCATATCCTCAAAATAAAACCAGTAACTCTCCCTTATAATTTTGCTAGCAAGTCAAATGAAACAAAAGTTTCTATAAAGTCAAATGACCGCTTTGTAAAACAAAGATAATATTCCCATAAATCTTTAGCACACAAATACATCACAATAAATGATAAAAATAGATTATTTTCATTTCGACAATTCTTAATCCTAAGAGAACAAATGGCTCCTTTATCCTTTAACACCCAAGCTAAAAGACTGTGTGGGATGAAAAAACTCGGAAACTGAAAATAATGAAAATTGTACTCCTAAAAGACTTTTTACCACTTTAATGCTTAACGTTTTTGGCATTAAGTGCCCAGCAGACATATTAAAGTTTTATAATAAAATGCTCTCTCTGGATGTTGGTGAGAAGTGAATACTATTAAATCACTTGAGAGTCAAAAAGTTCAGTAGTATTAGCAATGGTCAATCACACAAAGAATCTGATATTGAACATCCTAATAAAAAGCACCAAAAGTTGTCATAACAACCATCATTTACATTTTTAAAATTTAGTTCTTAACGGCAAAACTGAAGTAGGTAGTAAAGTTCAACAGTATTATGAACATTTTTGCTCACGTACCTCAGGTGGCCTACTGCCCTGGTTCTAACTAAAGAAAGAAGAATATAATCATTTTGTTGACCTTGGAATCTGTCAACAGTTGTCACCTAGGAAAAAGGAAAATGTGGTTTCAAGAAACACCATAATAAATCCCCAGAAGTCATTTAAATAGTAATGCTAATCACAGATAGCCTGCCCATATAATGACCAAAGTCCAGAGAAGCATCTGCAAACACCTGGGATGGAAAGAACAACGCTAGTGAATACGAACGACGTAAAACGCAGTAACCAGAGGAGGCTGTGTCCGTAGGTTATTCACCCGGCACTCCTGTTACATATGTGCTTATCTTAAAGCTGATCACAACATTACGTAAGGAATTAGTAGTTTCCCCCCACCCCCCCCTCCAAGACAGCAGGGACCAAGCCTGCCTTATTACCAAGCATCCGAGTTTAACGTCCACCAATAGATTCTGGTATGCTCACTCATTAATTAACCTATCTCTAGGATTCGCCTATGGCATTCTTTGGTCTAAAATAAACTAACAATCTCCATAGTCTTTTTGCTGAGTTTGAAAAATATATGTATAAATAGGGAAGTTCAGGGAGGTTCTAGAATCTCTAATATTAGTACTCATTGAACACTTTTTCATTAATTCAGTAAACCCTAAGTTATGGTCTTAACCCTTAGAAAGCTTACCAAACCTTTCTTTTTAAATACATTTTATTTTGAAATAAGCTACATGCATGAAAATGTACCCGTTTTCATTGTCGGAGTCATTAGCTGCATCTTGGTAAAGACTATCAGCACAGTCTAGATTTCTAATCCTTCCACAAGCATTCCCTCATGCCCTTTTCTAATCAAGCTCTCAGTCCCCAGGTCCAGGCAATCACTGATCTGCTTTCCATCACATTATTTTTAGCCAGCCCCCTCCAATTCCATAAAATGGACTAATAAAATATGAATTCTTGGGTGTCTGGCTTCTTTCACTCACCATTTATTTTTTAGATTACCCATAAGTTACAGGCATTAGAAGTTTATGCTTTTCCTTTGCCAAGTGGTAGTTCTTAACTGAACATATCACAATTTGCTTACATTTATCTGTACATGGACATTTAAGTTGTTGCTAGCTTGGAACTACTTTAATTAAGGCTGTAATAAATATTTTTAGAAGCAAGTTTTCATTTCGAGAAATGAAGTTGCTAAGTGAAATGGTGACGTGTATGTTTAACTTCTGAAGAAGCTGTCGGGTTGCTCTCCAGGTCTACACTGCGCTACACACACACTAGCAACGTTCCAACTCCACAGCTTGAACTGTTCCGCATTCTTGCCAATCCTCGTTACATTACATTGTCTATCTTTGTATTTTAGCCATTCTATCGAGTATGTTCTCAGGACCTTACCTTATTTGGTCTTCCAATCAATGGAATATAGTCACATCGTTTATTGATAATATCACGAATGAGATGCTTCTGTCCATTGTATGTTGTGAGAATACTGATCTTGTCAGCAGGGTAACCAAGTAGGCGCATGTACATAAAAAGCGCTACTATATATTCTGCCTCTCCAAGATTCTGTAAGGCAAACATAGTAAGACTTAACATGGATTTCCTTTTGTTTTCGATATTACAGAGATAATGATCAATCAAGCAGTTTGTTCACTTAGCACATAACAGGAAATAAAGACTTAATAACCCAGGCAATATAAAAATAGTCTTTTATAAAACCGAGAGATGACTATATGCTAGTTTAACAATAATACAGAATGTGATAGTTATCTTCCCTTGGCATTTACAACACACGAACAATTATGAAATTAGATACCAACCTAAAGGCTTAATATTCCTGGGGCTACAGCAATCACAATCAAGATTAATAGAGTCCTGGTGCAGTACCCAAGCGAGAGAAGGATAAAGAGATTTATGGAAGCACAAATGCCCCTTCTGGAAACTAAAAGGGTTAGCCCTACTTTGTCCTGTGGGGCTGCAGACTCAGAATCGATTCCGTGGCAGTGAGTAACTGAGTCACAATATAACGCGTTTCTTTCTTACTTACGCATCTTTGATTTTGCCCTGTGTGCGTGCAAGTGTGCGTGTCTTCTCTTACTGATGGTTGCCACAGCTATCAAACCACTTGAGGTGGGAAGAGGATGTGCCTCAAATCAGCCAGTGTAGCTTACTGTTACATGAGAAGCTCTAGTTAAAGATTGGTGGTTAAAGAGCTTAAAACCAATGGCTTAACTGAACTTGAAAGAGAAGAATCATATACATAAGGTCCGTGAAAATAGATTCAAAGTACTACCTGAGCGAAGAAATTCAAATGAGAACATAAACTGAACAAGGGATAGGGGGAGAGGCAGGAAGATGGGTTTCATATAAAAACAGTAAGAAAATTACAGGAAGATCTTCAGAACATTCATTTGTAGCCTGGCTCTTGAGTACAGGCTCACACTCAGCCTGAGTTGCCTGTCACATAAGCATCTGGTTCTTTGGAGGCCTGGCAGCTCACATGGCAATGTGCGCAACTGCTAACCAAAGAGCTGGTCATTCAGACCCACTGAGGAGAACCCCAAACCAAACCACACTCACTGCTGAGTCTATTCCAACTCATAGCAACCCTGTAGGGCAGGGTAGAACTGCCCCTGAGGATTTCCTAGATTATAACTCTTTGTGGCAGTAGAAAGCCTTTGCTTTCCCCCAAGGAGAAGCTGGGGGGTTTGAACTGCTGACCTTGAATTTAGCAAGGCCAAATGTCTAACCCATGGTATCCGATGCATAACCACTACAGCACCAGGGCTCTTGCTCCTGGAAGAGAAAGACCTGGTAATTTACTTTCCTAAAGATTACAGCCAAGGAAACGCTGGAGCAGTTCTGCTCTGACAAACGAGTCGATCAACATTAACTGAAAACAAGTCAACCAGCCAAGTTCTCTGAAATCCAGGGAACAGCATTCTCCCATGCTCTATCGCACGCGCAAACTGCATTTATCTAAGCAATAGCTCCTGTGCAGACAAAAGCACAAGGGGGATGTGAAAATGACCACAATGAAAGCTGGGGTGAAAATTCATTTATAAGATGTGGGTTTGGGGCACAATGGATTTTTATTCACATGCATACCAAATGCTGGCTAAACCGGTGCTGTGTTCAAAAGTCAGACATGAGGTATTCACAAAACAACAAGAATGACAGTTTAACAAACATTCTAGTACTTGGTAAAAAGTCAAGTTGCCTGCAAATATGTTAAAATTATTCATTTATCCATCTACTCATCCTTTCCTTTCAGAAACTAACGTCTCAACCTCAATCACCTAAATGTGGCGTGCTCTTATTGCGGGGAGAAAGGGGTCTTCAATGCTTCAGAAATACCTTCAATAGCAGCAAATCATTTCACTATTGTCCAGTTAGATTTAATGAATAAGAAAGTGGATTCTCAATCAATATAATAATGTCAGTGGGTACATCACTTTTAATACATACTGGCAAATTTGCCCACTGAATGATTTGTCCACTGGCAATGCATGAGAGCGGAGTTTACCCAGCCTCACCCCAATGCTACATATTGTAAAAACAACCCACTGAACGATACTTGCTATAAATCAGTCTTCACTTGTGAATTATGTATTCTTGTCTTCGTCACATTTTTTCTCGAGTGCTGATTTTTAAAATGTGCATTCAGAGTTCAATTCACTGGTAAATGTTGATAAGAAAATTTACCCTTTTATTGGTCAATATTTTTCTATATGATTTCTGTTTTGGTAAACAGATTAGGAACTACTGTTCTTCACTCCAACAATATATATTTATCATTATTTTCTTCTAGTGCTTTCTATCTAGTATGGTTATAGTTTCTCTTCTTTATTCTATATACCTTTAATCCATCTGCTACTGATCTTTTTGTGTTGTATGTGATATAAGGACCTAATTTTCCTTGTTTTCAATGGCTAGCCAAACAGTTTGGGATTACTGACATAGGTTAGTAATTCAGTCAGCTAAATGCAAAATGTTTCATGTTTTTCTTACCTGATAAAAGTAAGGATTAGGTTCAGATTCTCCAACTCCCTGGAAGTCTTCCACATTAATGAGCTGGAAGTCATACAGCAGTCCCGCATTTGCCGTTCTAAACTCTGGCAAGAGCTGCACATGAGGCAAGTTGCCGAGATTCTTGTATCGCCAATTGTAGAGGTTGCACAAGCTTTCCATAATAAACACCCCCCAAAAGCAAATTAACAATGTAAGTTTCCTTCTCGTATATATTGAGCCCCCACCAAAACCCACTATTGGCGAGTCGAGTCCGACTCAAAGCAACCCTATATAAGGTTTCTGAGACTAAATCCCTGCAGAAGCACAGAGCCTCATTTTTCCTATGAGGAGTGGCTGATGGGTTTGAACCGCCTTGTGCTTATAAGCAGGCCAAATATCTAACACACAGTACCACAGGGGCTCAGGGCTCACTTAATATACATAAAGGGATTTCAATGAAACGGTTTCCCATTAGTGTTCTAACACCCATTTTTCTGCTCACTCTTTTAACTATAACCACCCTATTTCAAATAACCTAGTGATATTTCAAAAATATTGTGTGGGTGGGTGGGTGGGTGGGTGTGTGTGCGCGCGCGCGCGCATAAAATCAAGAAAGACTAAGTGATGAAAACATTGGGGTAATGACAAGATGGGTCCTGTGCACTTTATATAAGGTGGTTAAGAACTGATGTGTTCTCTTGTTTTTTTGCTTTAGATTTGAACATCATAACAAATGTGTATCTTTGGGAATGGTAAGGAATGAGAAGAGGCAGTGACGAGAGCCCTTAAGGTATTTGTCACATCACAGAAAGTCTCAGTGAGCTACCACAAGGAAGGGAACCGCTGGTTGCGTCATCACACACAGCATGTAGATGTCAAGACGGACACTCTGGGATATGTAGCTAAAGTTCCTGGAGGGCAAGGAATGCTAAAAGCCTACATGAGAGAGGTCTACCAATACAGGGGCCACCAAACTGATGCCCTTCAGCAGGAGCAGTTTATTCCTCTTTTGTCTCCCTTACCTGGCTCTGGCTCTCCCTTGGGCATCGAGGTCCACTGTAGGGACTCCAACACGAACGAAGCGGGTGAAGAGAGACTGCTCCATGTTGGAGTACTTCTGGAAGGCCATGTTCTTAATGACTGGAGGTAACTGGTGATGATCACCAATCATAATCCACCGCTTCAGCCGGCTAAACCCATCCTGAGGATTCTAGAAATGAAAAAAGGAAATGGCAAAACAGTCTCGTTTTATCATCACCTTAGTCTCCAGCCTCTTACACAGGAGTCTTATTTAGCTAACACATTCTCTATCTTCACCAGCTCCACACAGAGGCATCTGGTAAACCTACAGAATGACTGTGAACTAAGTATGGACACCACCGCTCTTGACAAGGGATGGGAGGGACTGAGATGGCAAGCAGGGTAGCACTCCATCAGGCAACATATCCTGCGGTCTGGGAGACTTAAGTTCAGCAGTAAGCAAGGGTGCATTGAAAGGTAAACACCTTGTGTCCAAATTATGCCCAGGGCCAGTTCTGATTGTCCAAAGCTTATTTCATATGCTATTTCAAAAATATTAGGTCTCAAATTATGAGAAACAATGTACTCAATTCATATCAAAGTCAAGTCTAGAAACAACACTGTCAAAAGGAATAATGAACAAAAGCGACATTCTAAAATGTTTAACAATGTAATTTTCTTAATTAAAATTACTGTCTTTTCAAAACTACTTTATAAAGTATGACTTTTCAAACAATCTGTCTCAGAGATAGCACAATATACCAAATAACTAGTAAATAACGAAGGGGCATTTGCTAGCTTACAATATAATTATATCAGGATAATAAATCATTGTGGCAATTAGCACCCCAACATGGTGTAGCTTTCTGATGCTGCACCCCAAACTTCTTAGAAGCCTCTTTTCGATTTGACTCAGGTCTTAATTTCTTACCTGTAAAAGAAGAGGTATAAAAGTTTCGATCTCCAGAATCTGAGCGGCCTCTTCCATTAATATGTTGTCATACTGAGGCAAGGAGAGAGGGGACGCTAGTCAAAAATCCAACAGCTTAACATCCACACAAACACTACCATAACCATGACAGCCAGTCACAAAAAGTGACATAAGTTCAGATGAAAACAATATACAAATTAGTCACAGACTTGCTTAATTTAAGTTGCTTCACCAACTCAGGTCCTTAACCCCAGACAAGCACACGAATGTACAAATTTACTTTGAGGAGAACTAATATCATTTCTTAGATTATGGGATCCACACTTTTCAATTCAGTTCTTTAAGTTCTTCATAAGCAAGAATCCATTTATAATTCTATATGAGGCTGGTGTCAATGGCACTCATGCTAGGTGGTACTTTGAGACCCACCCCAACCCATGAATCCTACTCGTTTCCCACCACCATCAAGTCCACTGCGGTTCCTAGCAGCCCTCTAGGATGCACTAGCACTGCCACTGCAGGTTTAAAAGCTGGCAATCCTATGGTTAGCAGCCCAATGCATCGCCCATGAGTCCTACTAGTCCTCCATAATATACTTCTCTTTCACCTCGGGGAATTCAATCCATCACCCAATCGTACCTACTCTAGCTTCAAAAACACCAGGAGCCTAGTTGCACTTATTTCTACTATCACTGCACATCCCAGCCCAACTCTGACTACTGCCAAAAATCTACTTCACAGTCCCTTCCCTTCTGTCTTGCCTCCTCTACACCACCAACCCCGCAGTCACAAGACGATCACTTCCAGGCTCCAAACCTACCTTGGCTTCTCAGTGTCTTGAGAATCACAGGCTCTGCAGAACACTGGCCCTGTACTCCTCTCCCACCTCCTCAGCTCACTGACTCTTTCAGTTTCTCAGGTCCTTCAGACACACTATTATTTTCTCATTTTCTGTCTGCTTAGCTCTTTGACTAGAGCCTTACCAAGCTCTAAAACCCAACTCACTGCCATCAAGTCAATTCCCGATTCACTACAACCCTACAGGACAGGGCAGAACTGCCCGTGGGCTTCAGAGACTGTAACTCTTTACAATGGTAGACAGTCTCCTCTTTCTTCTATGGAGCTGTTGGTGGTTTCAAACTGGTGACCTTCAGGAAAGACACCCAACTTGTAACCACTATGCCACCAGGACTGAGGCATTCTCTAAGTTCCAAGGCTAGAGCACATCGCACAGCATTCTGTTCCTTTATCTCACAGCACATTGCAGCCTGTGTATTTACTTAGTGTCTACATCCTCTCACCAATCTGCAGTGTCTAGACAAGTACTAGGCACTGCACATTTCTAGGGAGAGCAAATTTACTCAGTGTTTGTACTTTTCTTTTGAATTAATTTTGTTGTTGTTGTTACTTTTCTAAAATATTTGTGGCAGGATTGAGGGGAGCTAGATTTGACAATTCAGCATGATTTTTAATCTCTTAAACTAGATGCACATGTAAGTTAGAGAAAACTAAAATTTAAAACCCTAAAAGCCCTAAGGGATATTATCAACACTTAAATGTCAACTACTCTAGATGTTCAACAAGATATAAGTATTTCAAATGATTAATAAAAGTATGTCATGAGTAATGTTTTAAGAAAATATTTGAAAGTCTGCATGAAGACAAAATGTTAATTATGACTACACTGTTTCCTTCTGTTATGGGACCGATGAACTTCAATATGAAATGGAAAGCAGAGCTCTTATGTCAGTCACAAGAGCAAAATATTTAGGTGAAAATTTCTCACAAATAACCTGCAACAGGGCAAGTTCACACCACCCGGCAAAGTTCACACCGTCTCTTAATAAATTATCAATTTTTGTGCTACCATGCAGCTGAGGAACCTTCCTTCCATGTTAACAACAATTCTAACACCTTTAATTTATTTAGCACCTAGCTTCCAGTGAGCTCATAACATTTAAACATTATCAGTTACTTTCATCAACAACAAATGCTGTGTTCACCTTGAACTAGCACACAAACCTAATCTGAAGCAACCAACAGCTAACTCATGCAGGGAAGCGCGATGATTTGCATTGAAATCTGCTAGCCAGTACTACTAGCAAAATCACAAAGTATGAGAACTCCATCTCACAGCTGTCCTTACATTCCACTCACGTGGGCCAGAGGCTAACACACACTGCACCTTTTTAGCTTTCCTTCGGTCTTTTTAAGATGGTGACGTATTTCTCTAGTCAGAATGTTCACATCTGCATAAGGAAGACTTTTCATTTACTTTATGCCCAATTAACTTGGGGGGAATATATGGTCAGTAAGTAAACAACACAAGTATGGAGATGTCTAATATGAACACACAATCAAATGTTATTTTTACAGCATACAGCTCTATTTGAAGAAGTTGTTAACTGGTAAATGACACTTGGTGACAATGAATTACCATATATACTCAAGTATCAACCGACCCGAATGTAAGCTAAGGCACCTAATTTTACCACACAAAAAACTGGGAAAACTTATTGACTCGAGTATAAGCCTAGGGCGGGAAATGCAGCAGCTACTGGTAAATTTCAAAATAAAAATAGATACCAATAAAATTACATTAATTGAGGCATCAGATTAAATGTTTTTGAATATTTATTTCAAAGAAAAACAGTAAACTAGCACTGTAAGTGGAAAAGAGGGTCAACAAAAACAATATGGTACCAACAAGAACTATACACACTGTGTTACTGCACGCGCTGCATTACTACCGGTATATATGCTGCATTACCGCATGTACACAACGTAGCTTGTATAGTTTGCGGCCTAATGCAGGCTGATGATAGTCCAGAATGTGATGACATGACTGTTTGCATAGAGCAGCCTGTGTTAGGGCTCATAATATACATGCTGCATTGTAGATGCACTGTGTTACTGCATGCACTGCGTTACCGCATACGCAGTGTTACCGCATATGTATAGGAAGTGCTAAGGCAACACATGCAGTAACACAGTGCATACACAATGCAGCGTGTGTATTATGAGCCCTAACAAAGGCTGCTCTATGCAAGCATAGTCAACACTGGGTCCAGATAGGGGTTAATAAGAAAATAAAAAATAAAATATAGCAGACTAAGTACTGTAAATAAACGTACTGTATATGCAAGACCAGAGATATACCAGTACTTGTATTCAGCAATGCTTGGGCGGAGCAAGGAGGTGTGACCAATCATGGGTAAGGCTGTAAAGGCTACTCATTGGTCACAGCCCGGGAGAAGAGCAGCTGCATCCAACATTCACCTGACAAGGATGCGGTGTGCTCCAGGTACAGCACACGGAAGCAGGCAGGTTCTTGCCCAGTAGGGCACAGACAATAGAGGCTGCAGGTGTGCAGGGGAAAAGAAGAGCGGTGATATCAGCAGTCATCGGACCACCCACAGAGGCTGCAGGTGCCAGCAGATGAGCGGGAGAGACCGGAAAACAGGTAAGTGAGACCCTCACTCGAATATAAGTCGAGGGAGGGCTTTTTATGCATAAAAAATGTGCTGAAAAACTTGGCTTATACACGAATATATACGGTAATCTACCCCAACACAACTAGGTGGTTAAAAGGTTATTTAGTGAACACATAATATATAATTAATAGTAAATTAGACTTAGAGTTCAAGAACGATAAAAACTGGGAGAAAGATGAGCTGTCTGCTTCCATAAAGATTTACAGTCTGGGAAATCCTAAGGAGCAGTTCTGCTCTGGCCAATAAGGTCACTCACTGTAAGTGGAAGGAATTTGACTCCATGGTAGTAGATGTGGCTTTCTGTGTTTACAATATAAACCCTTGGAATGATGATCTATTTTAAAGAGAGACTGTGCTGGATTGAAATTTCTTAACATGGCTCTTTTACCCCAAGTCTATAACTCCAACCAAATGATTGGGTGACACTCTTCAAATAAGGTATGTGTAATACTGAGAGAGCATTGATCAGCTTGTATGGCCACCACCACCACCACCACCACCCTGACCCTGGGTATGCAGATGAACCATTTTTAGAGAATAGAGAATCACCGAGGACCTTAGAAAGAGCATGCTGAATATCTCAGTCTGAAGTGGCAGAGGCTGCTGGACCAGATGCCTCTCAGACTGTGGCATGGAGTCTAGAGGAACAGCACCAAGACTATGGGGTGCCTCTTGTCATCTGGCCTGAGACTGTAGGACTGTGGGACAGTGACAGGAGGCTGGCTTCGTGGTCCATGGCAGCAATGGCAAGGGACTATGTGGCTGAAAAACTAACCATCAGAGAGACACTTGGCTGCTGGCTGAGGAGGCCAATGACTGTACATACCCTTACCGTTTGCTGATCCTGACTTGTGGTAACCTATTAACGTCCCTAATAAGCCCTGTTACTTGTAAGTACGTCTGAGTTCGGTGTGGTGAATGCAACAAATTATTGAACCCAGCACAGCAGAGTGGTGCGGGAGGAACTGTTGGCGTCAGAACAGGTAAAGAAGGTGGGACCATGGAGGTTTGTCTGAGCCCTGCCTCATGGCAACAGGGAAGCCAGAGATGGCCCTTCATCACCGTTTATTGCAGAGACCTGTTTAAAGTAATTATAAGACGTGGAGGTAAATGGCCCAAGAGAAATGAACTCGGTAATTTCCGGTGTTATGAGGTGACCTCATAATAAAAAAAATACAAAAAACGAACAGCTGAGAAGGTGATAAATTAAGGAAGCAAAATAGTAGTCTTCACCTTGAAGCCTAACTTGACCAAGTCATGTCGTTTTAAGGCAGCATGCGTACAGGTCATTGCGATGATTTTGGCTTCCTTCACCAGAAGGTACTTAGATCTGTCCAGTCCACTTCGAAGCAGCTCAGAGGCTCTGAATTCCTATGGGGATGGGGGTGGGGGTAGCCCACAGAGGGGAGAGATAAATGTATGAAAATCAACAGTTCATTCATCATACATTCATATAATCCAGTCAATCAGACTTACCTCCTGGGAAATTAATATATCAACATATTATCTACTAATTTTACTCTATCTCTTTAAGCTAAGTCTAATGAATAATAATTCTGATTCATAATAATAAGCTAGGTACTGAGTTCAAATAATAGCTGACATTGAAACTATGGTTTGGACTTTTTTAGGTGTAAGGTGAAATAACGACTCTATAAACAAGAAAAATGAATTAGAGATCAATCACCACTGTACCTGTACCACCCAGGATCTCCCCAGGAAAATAACCTATTCCAGCATTGTTCAATGCACTCATAACAAATATATTCATCACAAGGGGAATGTAATGTAGGGAACGGGTTACAGAGGTGACGGAGCAACTGAATGGCAAAGATGAAGTGGCCGTGAGACTAGCGCCAGCACTGGAAGGAGATGGAGTTACCAGTGCCTAAGGAGCCAGGGTCACGGAGCAAGCTGGAAGCACAGGGATCCAGCACAGCCCACACTGGTGCCGTGGCTGAGCTGAAATGAAAGGCAGAGGGGGGGGGGAAGGGGGGGGGGGGTGAAGAAGACTCCCGTTCCTCTTTTTCCTCAATTCCTGCCAGGCCAGCAGTCAGCTGACATGGGTGGCTGGGAAATTCTACCTGCAGGGATTGGAACCTGCTGCACCCATGGCAGGGGTCCCCCGTGGAACAGAGCACACAGGCTCCAGGAGACTGCCCAGTATCAGGCTACACAAATGTGAACATTTTCTCATCTTCAAGTCATTCTTCACATTTACACTGCTTATACATGCGAGGCCATCTGGGGATGGCAGGGCCGGCTGCCACCCCTTCCAAGGGAACCAGTCTGACAAATGGAATATGCTATGTTTTTGCTTTCTGTTGATGTAGTCATAAACACGATGTACATGTGTAAGTCAAAATGTATTCTACAAGATTACAGAAATATTTATTCAACAAAAATATCAGACTGTACAGCTATTTCTTGGGCAGGGTGGGGAGGGGGTAAACCACACATCCACCACTTAGGTCTACACACTTCTGAAGGTAGTGTTTCCATCTCTCTAAGCCTTTCTCGACGCAGAGTTCTGCGTTCTTCTTCAAATGGCAGCACAACAAAATGCCGCTGTGCGGTCCTCGAGCACGGACTCGGCAGGGGCACGCTCAGAGCGTAGGCGGCTGGCGTACGGCTGCTACTCTGGAAGAACCGAGCAGTGCGCTTCTGTGACTGAGAAACCCTCAGAGCCACTATCCTGACCCTTTTCTCAATAACGCACTTGCAGATTTTCTTAAAACTTCTTTATAACGCCCCATGATTACCCTGCGTCCTCTGAGAAAAATCTATCGCAATCAACCCCGTTAGAAAACAGTCACCATAGCCTTAGGGGCTGACTTCTCTTCTCTGCCTTGCGGTTACCTGGCCCGTTAGAAGCCATGATTTGGATGGAGCCTTCTCTCCAAAGGCGCATGATGCGTACTACTGAGAGACTTTGTCGGCGGGCACACACTGATCAAAGACACATGCTGAAACATTCTGTTAGGAATAAACCTGTGCGTGTGCTCTCATAATAGTGCTTTGAAAATCTGAAATATTTATTCACATACTATACATCTCTCATTCTGCATCTATCATTAACTAATATACTGGACTAATGTGTTAGATCTTAAGAAGTAGGAATACAATCACATCTATGAGATGCAGGGACAAAAGACACACACTCCCGGCCAGTTTAACCTAGAATAACCCTAGACCCTCTTCCTGAGCAGACTGAGCCGACCCATGGGAGCCCTGTCCAACTGCTACCGGCTTCCAAGGGTGTCTGCCACGAAGTGAGGTAAAACCCCAAACGTCCCTGGAGTCAAGAACTGTTCTTCCCTGGCACCCCCCACCCCCACCCCACCCCTTGGAATAACAGAAACTCTGATTTCAACTTAATAACCAGGATCACTCATCCTAGTTAACAACAAACTGCTTCTGGTCTACTGGTCATGAGGCTCAAGGAATCCAGAATGGTCATGTGGCTGCCACATATTTCTACTCAAAAAATCATTCTTGAATCCCCTGGAAGTCTTTTCCTAAATACTGAGATATTTAAACCAGAAAAGTCAGAATGAAGCTAAAAAATTCTTAGATATGAACATTCTACATTTATTTAATCACGCGTGCGCGCACACACACACACAGAAACAAAAATAAAGTTCAAACTTTTACAGGAAGGTAAAGAAGCTGAGATCGCTTACCTCAAGCTGAGTAAAAATTTTCTTAATATGCCTGAAACATCCCTCAGCAATTTCCATGTCTTCTTCATAAGACCTGCCTTTAAAGATGGGCTGAGGCGCGTTTGCAAAGTACTCATGAAAGGGGAAGAAAGCGGAGGTGTCTGCAACGCCTGGCTCCGCACTGCCTTTGTGCTTCACTTTACTAACATACTCTTCCCAACGAGACATTACCTACCAACAAGAGGACTCGAGGTTAAGCTCTAGTTATTTACCATGCTGGAATAATTAAATCAAACAAGTAATCTCACGGATTGTTTCTTTCATAAATGTAACATTGCGATCACAGGCAAATGGGCCCTTCATGAAAAGCACAGAAACGTCAAAGAACCTCAGGGTCATCGCACGTGGGCTCTATCGCAGATACGACAGCTTCCTCACGTAGACGCAAGATAAACTTATTATCCACCCTATTTTCTAAACAAGCTTTCTGGACAAGAAATTCTTTTTTTTTTCTCTATCTCAATTTTTCTCCATAGAAGGAAACTCCAGTTTTCACAGTTTCCAAAATCAATTTGGTTCTTTCCTGTTCCTCTCTCAGAGCTTCCTGTTGCAATTCTCTTCAATATATTTATAAAGAACTGTGGCAAAACTGAGCACGTATTCACACTCTCACGTCACGGCTTTTGCCATATGGTTCAGTTATCACGTTTCAGGATGTTCACTAAGAAGTCCCTGGGGCACAGCAGTTAGGTGTTCAGCTATGAACTGAAAGGTTCATGGTCTGAATCCACCGTCTACTCCAGTGGTGAAAGACGAGAAGGCAGCCTGCTTCCACCGAGCTTGCAGCATGGAAACCCTGGGGCGCAGTTCTGCCCTGTCTGCCCTCAGGGTTACCAGGAGTGGAAAGGACTGGACGGCACACGCACTGCAGCTAGCTGGGATTCCTCGGGGGTGCAAATGGTTAGCGTGCTCGGCTGCTAACTGACATGTTGGAAGTCTGCCTCAGAGAAAAGCCAGAGACAGAAGATCCCTTAGAGCACAGTTCCATGCTGGTAGACTCGAGGCTGCCGTGAGCAGGGATTGACTGAATGCCTACACAACGTTAGCTGTCACTACCAGCCAGTTTCTACGTAACCTCCATTCTTTAATTCTTCCAGGTCTGCTTCTGCTCTAACTCTAGTGTTTCTCAAAATGTGGTCAGTGGGCAGACATTGAGGAACTCAATAAAAATGCAAATCTGTGCATCCCAACGGAGACATACAGAATGAAAATCTCTGGGGGTAGGGCTTAGGAATTTTCCTTTACATAACTTTCTCAACGTGATTCTTAAGCACATGGATGTTGAGAATTGCCTCAAGTTTACTTTTCCCAAAACTTAGTCTAAGACCACTGTTTATAGATAATTTCCTCTACTTTTAAAGCAAGTTGCCTCTTTCAAAGAAACCAAATCAGTTCATTTCAATGATACTCAACTTTTGTGTCTACACTTAAAATGAGTACAACCTACTCTTTCATATACATTTCAAAATTTCACTGTTATAATTGTACCTAAAATGCACAAATACCATTGATATGAAGAGAAAAAAATCATACCCAAATTATCTTTATTTAATTACACCTCAATCTATTTAAAATTATTAGCAAGATAATTGTTAAAAGTTTCTTAGCTCCCTATCCCTAATAGGCTTTCATACCCCAAACATTAGCTGTAGCAAAAGTGAAAGCACACCTGAAAATTGACATCAAATTTAAAATTCACTGTACTAGTTGTAAGGAGTTATTTATTCCTTAATGTTAGAAAGGATAGTATGCTTGTCTTCATTAGCTGATTAACAGAATTGTACTTAATTCCCACTGGTTAACAAAAATATTTATTTATATTTCTGTACTCCAGCCCCCATACAAACTCGATATTGTCGAGTGGATTTTGATTCACAGCAAGTGTTCTTATAGGATAAAATGGAACTGCTCCAGAGGGCTTCTCAAGCTGTAAATAATCCATGGAATCAGACTGCCAAATCTTTCTCCCATGGAGCAGCTGGTGGGTTTGAACTGCCGGCCTTTGGTCAGCCTTCCTAACATTAGTTTAATCACAGTGCTATAAAAATCTTTGTGTTTCTATAGCAAAACAAAAATGTAAAAAGACTGGAAACTCTGCCAATAGCAAGAAAGAAATGCAAAAAAACCAAAACAAAGACAAAAACAAAACCTTTAATGTTGCAATATTGGCTTTTCACAGCATGAGTCACCAAGCAAAGTTACTTAGCAAAGAAAATTGAAAATAAAAGAAAATACAAATATTTAACATTCATAATTATAGCTTCAGCCAACAGCTTATACTTTAATCTACTCAACAAAAAAGGCTTTCAAGAAGAATCTCAAGAATCCATTCCAGTTTCCAACTGGGGACCAACTACAATGACTTATGATTCTAAAAACCATTAATCTCTTACCTGGTATAAGAAAAAATAGCCCGCAGTTTCACAAGTGTATGAGGCATCTCCGGGAACACCTAGACTCTTTTGCAATCGTTTCACTTCTTCTAAAAGCTCTATTCTTCGAGCCAGGACATAATTAACTCGTCCATACCTACAAATTTCAATTATGCAAAAAGGGCAAAATTGTGAAAT